GACCGGGATCGGATAGTAAACAATCCAATCCAATATTAGGGCTTAAATTTGAGGTAATAAACCCTTCGGGATCAGATCGAAAACTGGGTAAAGACCGGATAAGAGAGCTCAACACCCACAATTTAAGGGTAATTTACATAAAAGGTCACAAACCTTTGCACTTAGTACAAAACTTAACCAACTCCTCACCCTTTCGGGCCTTAGGCCACTGAAATCCCCAAAAGCTCAATATAAAATCAAGACCGAATTGAGATCGGACCGGGTCAAGACCGGACTGTATCCAATCCAATCCAATCTTTGCTCCTTATATTTTCAGGAAAAAAACCCGGACTGAACCGGATCAATTTGGGCCAATTTAACCGAACTGGACCGTATAACCACCCCTACTTATATCAATCCCCCTAGTTTACACATATCAATGCTTTAAATTCTTTTTTCTTCTTTTCAGTACCATTTACAATTTAAAGTTTAGAATGTGATAATAAGGATTACTATTAAATCCTTCAAATTTCAAAATTTACACTTGCATACATAAAAGGGCAAAAAGAGTAACAACAAATTTAAATAGTCCAAAAGAAAAAAAAAAGTTAGAAAAGAGAGAATCTGAATAAAGTATTGATTTTTATAGTGATGGGGGTGGAGGTGGTCACAAGATGAAAATAAAAGTTGTGGGGGCAAAGTGGAAAAAAGCTGTCAATTTCACGGCATTCATGGAAGAACAAGTGAACAACATAATGGTGTGAGGTGGCGGTGGGTGTATTTATTTTTTTCACTTTAACCCACTCATTTATTCATTTACCCCACCCCCATCCCAAAAGCTTGTTTGTGGGGACTATTATTCATATTTCAATAAATTTCCATATCAAAATAAAAAAATAAAAAAAATATGACGAATCCAACCCAAAGTTACCAATTTTTAAATATTTATCTTGTACTAAGTACTAGATTGTGGCCCGGCCGATTGGACGAGTAATTTTTTTGTGAATTAATATTTTATTTTATAAAAATTCTAAACCGTGAATGAGTGTCTAAATCTCTTAGTTTTTGTTAGAAAAAATATTAAATTTTTTGAAAATTGTTATAATTGGGAAATTTAGTGAAAATATCTAGACAAAACTACATATTAAATTAATAAAAAATTTAAGCTCCATCTTAAAAATATAAGATACCTTGTATTAAACTAAGTGGGACTTTGAAGATAAAAATAATATGATTTTACTTAATAGATGAAGTTAATGAGGAAATAAACAATTTCATGTAGGCTAAAGTTAAAAGGATATTCATGTTAATTAGTTTCTATAATTAAATAAAAATAATTAGCTTCGACTTCCAAATCCATTGATGAATTAATTATTTGTGTGCCCATAATATACGCCCCTTAATCAATAGTTTATTTTTGTCTCTCTCTCTTTCTTTCTTTAACGACTTTCTTCTTATTATTATTTTTTATGTAAAAGAACTTAATGTTATTATTAAAATCCCAATTTTTATTGCTCTATCGAAAACCCAATTTCTATAAACTTGTTGAAAAATCAATTGTTATTGGAAAGGATAAGAATATTATACGAAACTCCATTCTACAATACCTATAGAACTTTAATATGTAACCACCTATTAAAATCTCATATAACGGCCCACAACTCATATAAAAATAAGATGGATGGACTGTTAGTTTCGTGCCCCACTGTCAACTTTCTTTTCTTTGACTAACGCGAATTTAGAAAACATGGGAGAGATTTTTTACCAATCAATTCGTGGGATTGTAAGATGTTAAGAAAAAACGTAACCGCTGCGGACGGTTTTAGCGAGAAGGCAGGGAGAGGAGAAGATTAATTAGTCCCTCCGACTTATGCGGTTTAAACACCACCGGGCACCGGCTGATGTGACAATACTTGTTTCTTGACATTGTCTTATATGTTTGTGTAGACTTGTTATTAATCCCCGCTCCAATTGTCATAGTCTGAAATCCGAATAACACACAAACATGAGTTTGTCGAGTATTCCCATAAATTGAGATAGTACGTTTATAAAAGTTCACGAACTATAAAAGATCTCATATATTATAATTAGAAGTATTTTTTTTTAAATTATTTATATAGATGTCAAAATTTCATTTTTTACGAAATAGCAAAGTCCTTATATAAAAAAAGTGGTTATGCATGTAATTATTTTCTCCAAAACCCATGACTGATAAAAGAAAACGTTCTCCCTGTCCTAGGAAGCTTCTATGCTCTTACTAGTTATAGTATGATTTGACAGGCCAGTTATATAATGCCAAATTCTTGTCTAACCGTAAAATTCATGCATTTCTTTTTTTTTTTTTTTGTGGGAAAAATTCATGCATTTCCATCCTATAAAAAGAAAAGCTTAAGAGTTAAAATATTATTTTTTTTAAGTTTAAATCATGTAGGTGAAGTCGAGCTTGTACGTGGGAACCGGGACGTGCCGCCCACGGGCTAGCACGGCGCGGCACGGTTAGAGCACGACACGAGCACGGGCAAGAAATAAATGGGCTAGCCCGGCACGAACACGAATAATTCATGGGTCGTGCCCGGCCTAAACTTCATGGACACGAGCACGAGCACGGGCACGACACGGTATATAAGTGGGCCGTGTCGGGCCTAATATTTTTTGAGACTTTATTGAGTATAAGAACGGACATGACACGAAAATAATATTTATTTGATAGAAAATAAATATAAAAAGAATCATAGGTTTAAATATTACAAAACACAAGTAGAAAAATAATTATTTGTTGTTGTTAGAAGTGTCATAAAGATATATACGTAATTACTAACATAAGTAAAAATGGACAAAGAATTAAACAAAGTCAAATAACACTCGCTATACTTCCAATTTTCTTTTCCCCCTATTTGTTACTTGTCTCAAACATTATCGGTTAATACTATCTTCCCCCGTCCAATTTTTACCTTCTTTTTCATTCTCTCTTTTGTTTTCGTCCTTTTCATTAAACACGAATACGAGCATGACATGTGCACGAATAGGCATGGCACGATTCGAACCGTGCCCGGACCTGGGCCGGGCCTAGCAAAGTTGACTAATGGGCTTGCATGGCACGGCACGAAAATTGACGGGCCGTACCAAGCACGACACGAAATAAATGGGCCCGAAGCGTGCCCGTGCCCGTGCCGGCCCAAGCACGGCCCAGCGCCATGTACAGTCGAGTTACATTGGTTCAAGAATCAAGAATATCTTCACCTACACAGACTTAACATTCAATTGTTTGGGATGAGAAAATATAAAAGGAGATAAAAAAATGACATAATTAATTAATTAATTATAAACTATGTTGATGCCTTGACCAACAAGATACTTTTGGACGAAAACAAAGAATGATATTTGGGGATAAATTATCATGAACACTTCTTCTTAAGTTACTACTGTTAGTCAAAGCAGATGACAAGCTTATGTCAGGACTCAGGAGGATAAGTTAATTACTTGACCACCATTAATTAAATTTCAGTAATGACGTTTAATGATAAGATCCACCAAAGTTGTAATGCTATGATAAGCATAATAAGCAAACCATTAATTAATTTTCGAGGTGGTTATGATAGGATTAGGAACATGTCCACGCATGTTTTGAAATATATAATTTGGGCTCAAGATAGGGTGCATAATCATGGGTTATGCATCCATCAATAACCAAATCTGGACCCTTTATTTAGAAAATCCAGATCTAAGGATGGAAAATTAAGGACCATTTTTATGTTTTCTAGTTTTCTTAATCGGCTCATATCTTTTTCGTTTTAACTCGGATTTTTTTTTTGCACAGATGGAACGAGTTCATCGTGCTCTACCAAATGAGAACAATTTTCAATATTTTTTTAGAACAAAAAATTCTGGCCTCTCGGTACCAACTGCATACCATATGGTATCTTCTTCGTTTTTGAAAAAGTTTGCACAGAAGGGACGAGTACATCATGATATATTGGATCTATAAATTTCTGGGTGAACAAATTACAGGACCAAAAAATACCACACAATACCATACAATACCACCCTGGTACGGGGTGGTATTGTATGGTATCTTCTTCGTTTTTAATTCGTTTTTGAAAACGTTTGCACAGAAGGGACGAGTTCATCATGATCTATTGGATCTACAAATTTCTGGGTGAACAAATTACAAGACCAAAAAATACCACACAATACCATACAATACCACCCTGGTACGGGATGGTATTGTGTGGTATAAAGTGTTAAAAGTCGTAAATGACAATTAATATACTTCTACTATCATGTATTCAACCATCCTACAGTCTTGGTTTGTTCATACCACCATGGTACGTTTTTCAAACCATAGGTATGCTTTTATTTCAATACCAGTCAATACCATATGGTATAGACTGGTAAAAAATGGCTTTTTTTTGTTCGAAAAATATATTAAAGTGGATATCATTTTGAAGAGCACAATTAATCTGATCTAACTGTGAAAAAAAATTAAATTTCGACTTAAAATGAGTGAGAAATCGTCCGTCAAAGATTAAAGAGGGAAAAATTAAAGTCTTTCCAGGAGAGAGAGGATGGTGATGTCATGCTGATGTGGGCTGGTTACTCATTGTTACTCACTATAAGTTACTGACCTGATCCGGGAATATTCCAATCCACCAGTCGAATATTAAAAGGAACAACTTACAATTCAAACAACACTTCTCCTCTCCACAACTATCAGAGATTAAAAAATGAAAAAAAATAATAATTATTTGTAGGATCAGAATATTCTTCAGTTTGTTTCAAGCTTGTGTCATTATGGAGCTTAGAAGTGATGATGACGACGATAATATTAATTTTCCTAATATTTCTTCTGTTATGTTTTGGACTTATTCCGCTTCTTTTTTCTGTTGGTTCTCACCTTCCTCGTATTTCTACTTTCTGTTGTACTCACAAGTCACAAACTCCCAATTTCAAGTAACGACTTGGCTATTTTTTCTATATCTATCGTACTATAAATGTTCAAGATTAATGATTTATAGAACAACACATTACAACATTTTCACGGTATGTGAATAACAATAATCTCAATAAAGAGTTAGTTTCTTCGTGTTCTTTGTAAATCTCTTTCATTCTTTGAGTTCTATGTTGTAAATTTCTTTTTGTTCCTTCGCAACCTCCGCCATGTTCGTGTCGTTGTTATCAAATGCACAACTTATTGCAAAACTCACGCCACCAATTTTCTTTGTTGGATGGTCTGACTTCATGCTCTTCTATGTTGTCATTGTATCGTTGGTCACACTAATTGCTCCTCTTCTTCCTCACATGCAATGATATGACTCCGATTTCAATATTGTTCAGGCTTTCTGGTATGAGTGAGATCAACTAGTTCTCGCTTGGATTGCTCTTTCTATTTTTGATGTTGTGATGCCAAAATATTATCAATGAAACCACTAGTTTTGTTGTCTGGAATTCACGGGCTCTTATTTGCCAAAAAAGAATTATATGATTCAAAAGTAGTGGTTTTGTTGATGATATTGGGCATCACAGCTTCAGAAAGAGAATGAGCAATCCATGAGATAACCAATTGATCTCGTTCATACCAAAGAGCATGAGCCATATTTGAATACTATTGGAGTCAAGCATTGCATATGAGGCATGCGAGCAAAATTGTTAACATGATCGAGCAGACGATGGTAGTGGAGAAGAAGCTGGAGCCACATTACAGATAGGACATATAGTGGGGGATGACATCAAAGTAAGTTGGGGGGTTCGACGACAAAGACATGACCCATGAGTGTACCAAAAGGTGCGGAAGACCCAAAAGAGGCAACCGAGAACAACAGAACAAGAAAATAGATGATACGAATGAAGATTAGAAAGACGAAAGAAAAATGTAAAATTTTGAGTTTATATGCTCCTTTACTACCATTATAGATAATTTGGTTGCACTTCCTCCTCCTCCCCGAACTTGGTCATTCCCTCTCCTCTTCTTATACTTAGTGGTGCCACTGCCATAATCAATACTCAACATTTATTAGAAATGGAATGAGCCAAATGCCAACTTCGAGTTCAATACCATTCCATTGTTTGTTACCTTGTTGATGTCAATCAATAGTTTACATATGCTAGTCTATGCTACAAAGGTCAATTAATACCCAATAAGCTAGGTAAACTCAATGATTTATTCTTAAGTAACGTCCAAATTACCCTCCAAAGGAAATCAAATTCAACCCCCATACCCAAATATGTATTGGGCAAGAGAAAAAGAGAGCTCAATCGTTATCGAATATGAGAAAGTGGGAAAGCAAAGAAGGACAAAATTATGCAAGAAAATAATATATAATAAAGATGGGGTAGGAAGCTGAAAATGGTCCCTTAAATCGATCAAAGGTGACATTCCACTCAACCCAACAACGACCAAAGCCCCCAAATCATGGTTCATCATTTCTCATGCTAAGACAAGGGAAAGCGATATATGGTCTTCTTTTTCCTTATGAATATAAATATATAATGTAAGCAAAAATGTCATTTTTCTGGTTGCTCTCCAACTCCATCCATCAATCCTAATTTAAAATGATTACTACACATTCCTATCATGTTCATTACATTAAATGTAAAACGAATATAACAACACTTTTTTTTTATGAGTTTGGATTTAGTAAGATCAAAGTTCTTCTAAATATAGTCTTTTGTTGTGGTAGAACAAATGCTTAATATGCACTCTAATATGAATTTCAACTTGATCAAAGTGCAACCAAAGATGTGCTACAAAGCGTCAAATCATTGACACTAAAGATAAACGTTTAATCGTAAAATATTAATCTGACTCATCAAAGATAATTAGTTGTTAACTAAAGAGTTGCCTTACGTGAGCATGATAATACTCACTCGCCAGCATTCAAAAACTTCGAATCCTATGATTTTAAAAATAAAAGAAAAGAAAGTGTCGAGCTCGATTACAGGTGCGCCATCTAGTTGCTCTAGAGTTGGACATGAGTGATTGCGATAGTCACCAATCGCTTTCATGAAACTACTTTGTAAGAATTTAGAAGTTGTTGTTTCTCATATATATTTTAGATGGTAGAGGACATTTGATACCTATTCGTTTTCGTTATATCTTGTTTACTGATGCCTTATTTTTGTCGAGACTCTTCTTTAACTTTGAAGAACTATCAAACTGAGCACTTCTACTATGCTATACAGTATTGGTGTTTTAATGTACAACTTAAAGTTGTACCATAACATTAAATGTATAAGTTTAGGTTGTACCATAAAGCAATTTGTACTATTATGTTATGGTACAACTTTACAACTTGAAGTTGTACCATCACATAAGGGTACAAATTCAAGTTGTACCATAAAAGAATTTGTACAAAAAGTATAAGTACAATATGAAGTTATATCATAATGTAAATATACAATTATAAGTTGTACCATAAAGACAAAACCCTATAGTATTGTAAAATTTCTCCTATCAAACTATTATCGCTTTTGAATGAAATTTAAAATGCACTGCATTCATTTATTAATAAAAAAACGATTACTGATCTACCCGAACGAATCCGAAAAACGCCGACCAGACCCAAAGACCCAAGAGGGCCCGCAGTTTTCAAAGTAGGTACCGGGTAAGAAAGACCCGACACCATCCTCCCTTTTAGCTTCAGATTTACAGCAAAAAATACACACACTCTCTCCCTCTCCCGCCCGCAGATCATCAACAAACGAAGTCACAGAAGGAAATTAGAAAGGCAGAGAGAGAGAGAGAGAGAGGGTACAAAGGAAGAGCGAGAGAGCATGCAATTGCAAACCCTCCTTCTCCCCCTCCTCAACAATGTCTCCTCCACTTTTAACCCTCTCTCTTCTTCTCCCAATTCAATTCTCATCATCCCCTCTCTCCCACCTTCTCCTCCCCCAGACTTGTTGTTGACTTACCATCATGATCATGGCGGAATCACCAGAATCATCGGTACCAGGAGGCGGCGGAGTTGGGAATACAGAGGGGGAAGCTCCGGCGGCGCCCGACGTGGAGAAAGTTCTCGACTTTCTGCGCAGGAGTGGGTTGAAAGAGGTTGAATTGGCTCTCAAGGAGGATATCATCGAGAAAAACGAATTTGGTTCTGTCGATTTCGAGAAATTCTTGTTCGAGCTTCCTCCGGTGAGGATTCCGCCGGCCACTTTCCTGCAGGTGGAGGCCGGGGAAGAAGATTCCGCCAGCGGGGAGTCTTTTCGTGGTAGATCGAATTCTGGGATTGTTAGCTCCGATGATGAGTTCGTCAGCTTGGGTTCTTCCACCAGTGGTCTATGCTCTTCAGGTATACTTAATTTGGACTGAGCTCAAAACTCAGTCGTGAATGGACTTTTTTAGTTTAGGAATCACTTCCGCGATTTCACCCCCAAATTATTAACTCGAAACCTAAGATATGAATCCCAGCATTTTGGTACCAATTGGGAGTCTTTACTACTCTACTTGTCTGGTTTCAACCTTTGTGTAGTTTAAGGATTTATGGTGGACGTTTTAGACTGTCTAATTACTGTCGATCTATGGAGATTTGGCTGAAAAAAGCTGAACGCCATTTTTGTGTGTGTTATATGATGTGCAGAATTCACTAATCCGTATGGACTCCGGTCAGGATTGCAGCCCAATTCGGACACTTCCTCGGACAGAATGTCACAGTTTGGCACTGCTCGTGACTATCCTGATTTGGATATGCAGAATGATCTCTTCTGGTACGATGGTAGAGGTGATGGTAGAGTCGAAGGCTCGTTCAATGATCCTCGCCTGGACAACTTTTTAGGCGTGAGCGAGGATAAGTTTGTGATGACGTCTGGAGCAGCAGGACGGCAGCTTGAAGAGGATGCAGTTGGATTGTACGATAAATCTGAAGGGTTTGAGACGGAGGCAAGCGTTGACTTCTTGGACAAGCCATGTCTTTTCGATGCCACGTCTATTATGAACAGCGATGCTAACAAGGCTAGATCGACGGGTGGAGAGGATGGTTGTTTGGATCTGCTTTGCAAGTGTTGTGGAGGTGCAGGTGGTGGATGGGTTTGTGAAAAAGAACCTGTTGATTATGAGTTCTTGGGATCCAAGGAAACTGATGGTTTGAATTGTTTACAGCCGAAGGTAGGGGATTTTGTCAATGAAATTAGGAAAGGAGATTGTGGAAGTCAAGGGATTGAATGTTGTGAAGGTGATTCTGATCAACTGGTACCATTCAGAATGGATTATGATGAGCTAGGACGCAATGAAGTAAGTGAAGCACAAAATAAGGTCTTAGCTCCAAAGGAGAGGGAGGATGAAAATGATGATGAAGTTGTCTTGTGTGAGAATGAAGTGGATGAGTATGAAGTATTTGAACTACGAATCATACACCGGAAGAACAAGTATGTCAAAGCAACTACATGTTCCCATTATCTTCCATGAAAGAATCTCAAAACTATTTGCAGGGTCCTGAATTATATGTTTCTTTTTTTGTTGTCGGTGATCAGGACAGGATTTGAGGAAAACAAAGATCTGCCTATTGTAATAAACACAGTAATCGGAGGCAGATATTATATAACAGAGTACCTTGGATCAGCCGCTTTCAGTAAAGTTGTTCAAGCGCAAGATCTTCACACAGGGGTGGATGTCTGTCTCAAGATCATAAAGAATGACAAGGACTTCTTCGATCAAAGTTTAGATGAGATCAAACTTCTTAAGCTTGTGAACAAGAAGGATCCGAATGATGAGAGGCACATATTACGCCTCTATGACTACTTCTATCATCAGGTATTGAAAACGTAATGCAGTTGTATATTTCTAACTGTTTAGAATCCAAAACACGCTCTGAGTGTGTAAATCTAAATGCAGGAGCATCTATTCATTGTCTGCGAACTCCTACGAGCTAATTTGTACGAGTTTCAGAAGTTCAATCAAGAGTCAGGTGGTGAAACTTACTTTACATTAGCCAGGTTGCAGACAATAACCCTGCAGTGTCTGGAGGCACTCGAGTACTTACACCAGTTGGGGATCATTCACTGTGATCTGAAGCCAGAGAACATTCTGATAAAGAGCTACCGAAGGTGTGAGATCAAGGTCATTGATCTAGGAAGCAGCTGCTTTAAGACAGACACCTTGTGCTTATACGTGCAATCTCGTTCGTACCGTGCCCCTGAGGTCATGCTAGGCCTTCCCTACAATGAAAAGATCGATATATGGTCTCTTGGCTGCATCTTGGCTGAGCTGTGCTCTGGCGAGGTACGTCGAGTTCAGACAGATCAACATGTGCAGATCTTGGTCCTGTTTATTGGAACTTGCTGTTTCTAATTTCTTTCTCGCGGTAGTTTACTTGGATCGGTTGTTGATTTACTACCAGGTACTGTTTCCGAATGACTCAGTGGTAATGATCCTAGCTCGAATGGTCGGGGTTCTCGGTGGTATCGACATTGACATGCTGGAGAATGGCCAGGAGACTGACAAATACTTCACAAAGGAGCGTGACCTTTACTACATTAACGAGGTTCTTACCCCCAGCTCTTATGCTCCTTTCCTCTACAGCTCCCTTTCCGCGTCAAAGCTTCTGATCAATGGGCTTGTTTATTGAAATTAAAAATCTTCTCACTCTAGTAACTCATCCAGAGTTAGACATTGTTGGAGTCGACCGATATTAATAGTTGAATCAAGTTAGTGACACGATAGGCCGATTGTGTGTCGAATTATTGATCATTGTAGGAGACGGACGAAATGGAGTACATAATCCCAGAGGAGACCACATTGGAGCACCAACTGGGGACGTCCGACGAGGCATTCCTGGACTTCCTGACGAGCTTGCTGGAGATCAATCCTCTGCGACGGCCCACTGCAAGCGAAGCGCTGCAACACCCTTGGCTCTCTCATTCATACCACCACCACCACTCTCGTCCGTGATCTTACTGAAAAAAAAAAAAAAAAATTAGGTGGTGAATTTGTTTCATTGTTGACCCACGACACCTGTATGCTAGCTGTACAGAAAATGCCGCCTCCTTTAATTGTTGTTCTTCTGCTTTCGACCTCCATTGTTTTCAGAACCCAGAAAGATGGCAATAACATGGTTTTGAAATCGAAACCTAATCTTTGAAACATCGTCTTTGACAGTTGACAGTAATTAAACTATAGGCTCGGGGTTCGTGGGTTTCTCATGCGCCATGTTACTTGTCTGTTTACGTTTGGAAAGCATAGAAAGAGAGGGAGAGTCAGTTGGGGTTTCCCAGCTCAGCACTTGAACGTGGGTAATTAACACTTTGTGACGAATCTTTATTGTAATGAAGGATTGGATGATTAATTGATGATTTCCAAGAAGCCAGCCATGTTGGATTGAAATCCAATTCGATTTTACAGTATAAATGCTTATATCCTCCCCCTCTATATCTTGTGGTAATGATTCAGATGACATATTACAGTCTATCATAACGATGTTGTCCATAGATCAAATTATTTTGCGTATTTCATATATTGGGTTCGTGCTGTCTGATTGCGATCACTGATCACTGGTGGTCTCAGGTCTGGAGGTCAGGGAAAGGGCTGCCGGAGTTTAAGATGCGTCTGACTACATCTGATCCGAGCCCCCCAATCCGTCTGCTTTTATCTTTATAAGGACACGGCGACGGCAGGCTATAAAAATAATCTTGTGGATGATGGAGTCGTTGAAATCGAAGCCAACCAAACGCTGTCACTTCTCATTGGCTGCTTGCTTCCGCCTCCTGTTAAACAAAAATAAGAAGCCAAACATTTCTCTAGCTCTCTTGCTACTTTGTCTTCTACTGGGCGCCGGGCGGGGCTTGCTTACGCTCTCCGTCCGCGATTAAGTTGTACGCCTCACAATGAAGGGTACGGCACGATATCTCAATTAAGGGGTTGTTTGACTGATGCTTTTATTAAATGAGACATTTGAGTCCAAAAATTTCTACAAAAAATAAAATAAAATCAGACGTTTGATGTGACTTGTGAGACATATTGGGTTAATGAGACATTTTCGGTGAAAAAAAAAAAATAATTTCTTTTTCATTCTGTTTGATTGAAGAATTTGAATGAAAAAATTTTGGGTAAAAAAAATACACATTTATCCCTTATCCATCCCACCTCTCTTTACCGTCGCAAACTAATCATTTTGCGAAACACCTCCTTAATGGCTCTGCCGCCTAACACCACCGTCGGCACACAGATCGAGTTATATTCACCCAACTCCGAGTTTTGCTGAATAACTTTATATATGACTGCTCGAAATTTTTGCGAACCACATGTGGGGTGGACTTTGGTATGTCATATTTACAACTCCACATAGTTTTGGTTATGACTTATGAGGATGATTACAATTTTAAAACATTCGTTCGGAAATAGTATATAGGAAAACTGGTTCCACTCGAACCCGTTGCCATCCCTACTCGTTGCTCCAAATATCCCTTCGGTGTTGACATAGAAGGGGAGGGAGAGAGGATCATGTGCAATTGTGCAAGGTGATGCCAATTAGATTGACAATGAAAAATCTATCCACCCAATGTTCTGCGAGAGAGAGAAAGCATATCGAAGGAGACTACGAGAGTGATCCTCGGCTTGTTATTCTTGCAAGAATGGTTAGAAAGTCGAGGAGAAGAGAAAAGGAGGAGAGGAGTTCAAATTGTTTATGAGGGTGATTTTGAGGTTCAACAAAATATTTAGGAATAACTTTAGAAGTATAAAAATAATAATGATACATTTCAAATAACTAGAAAATGAATATCGAATTGTCTGTCTTGTTTTTTTTTTATGAATTAGTAAGCTTTTATATCATTAAAAAAGGAACCCAAAACTTTTGGCAACAACCCTGCCAACTAAGTCACTGTAAAACTGTTTCAAACTCCCGCTAATCTTCCTATGACATTACAAACGAGAAACCTATAAGAATGAACCAAGAGAGAAGGTTAACCAGCCCAAAAACTTTCAACAACTTCAGCAGAAAACAACACTGTAACATCCTGTTTAATTCTAACTATCATCTCCTGGAAAGCTCTTCTTGGATCCTCCATGCTTCAGGTATCACCTTTCTCGCCAAATGGTACTGATCATTGCCCGCCAAATCGCCTTAGCAGCTTGATTTCTCAATTGCTTCCCTTTTAGATGGTTCGAGGCCCACTGCAACTCTATGTTCCAATCACCCGAAGGAGTTCTCGGGTAAGCTTTAGCAAGCAAACCTACAAACAGTTCTTTATACACCACACATCCACCAAAAAGACGATCTCTAGTCTCCAAAGAGCAAGAGCAGAACAAACATGAGTAAGGACCACTTCCTCCTCAGCTTGCCACCTTATCACAGGTAGTGATAAAGTTCTTTACAACCAACCAGACAAGAAATTTGTCCCTTTGGGGAGATAAACCTTTCCAGACAAGAGAACACCAGGGAGCAGGGCCTCCCCTTGTCTAAAAGATTCCCATACCAGCTTAATACAATACTTCTTCATAATTTTCCCATTCCACAGAACATCCCCATTCACCATAGACATCTGCAAACAGATTTTATCTTTGCTCTTCAACCGCTTTAACCAAATCCAAGAACCAGTTTTGGATTGAAAAGTCCAAACATCATGGTTCTTCAACCTATATTCACTCAGCCACGCCACCCACAGAGATCCCTGCTGCAAAAGAATAAGCCACACATGTCTGATCACACACGCAAAATTCCAACTCACTAGGTCCCTTATTCCCAATCCACCTTCATTCTTAGGGAGGGCTAAGTAATGCCAAGCTGCAGTAGCCTTCTTCTTCCCATCAACACTGACTCCCCAAAAGAAATCACTACACAATATTTCAATCTCTTTAATAACCCTTTTTGGCAGAATAAAAACTGCCATCCAAAACTGAGTCAAACTAGCAAGCACAAATATCAAAAGCTGCAACCGCCCTGCATAGCTAAGGAACTTTGTTTTCCAACTATTTAATTAATTTTTTTTTCAAACAAGATATTTGAACAACATTTTGCATTATATGATAAAGCTCACACTAAAAATCCCTTCCAAACGACCCCTAAGTTATTAACGGAAGATTTCACGTCAACCCAAAGTTGCAAACGAACCCCTCGGCGGAAGTTCCACGGAGCTTGTGGAGAGGCGCGTGGCGGTAATGGTATATAGGAATCGCGTAGTCCCATCTCCCTATCTGAATTAGATTCTTCCTTTTTCCATTTTCTTCTTAATTATCGTTCGTGATTTCCCTTTTCCACTTTTTCTTTACATATTTTAATTAGCAAAAAAAAAAAAAAAAAGAAAAAACAAAGAAGGGGGAAACGAACCTGGACGGAACGCATAAATATAATCTAATCTAATCATCGTTGGCCTTTTAAGTTTTAACGACTCTTCTCCTCCTCCTGACACCGCCGCCACCGGCGCAATCCTCCACCTCCGCCGCCGCCGTATCCGTACCTGGCCGGCAGTTTTGCTCCCCAACTCCACGGACGCGACGGAGCGAAATCTTCTCAACTTCCGTACATAGAAATCGAGTACTTGGCACCTCCGATGGCTGAGTTGACTCAGCCCGATGTGGTCTACTCGCCTCGCTCTCTCCAGCTATGGACGACTCTCGTGAACTGGCTCGCTTTCTTCTTCCAGATCTTCCTTCAGATCCTCCGCCCTCTCGGACATCTTCCCCTTCTCTCTTCCTCTTCATCGTCTCACTCCTTCAAGCCCTTGCCCGTCGTCGAACTGCCGGAGATCGATTCTTCTTCGTCTTCTCCTTCTGTTCCGCCCACTTTGGAGATCACCGCCGGCGATAAGGGCTTGAATCGGCTCAATCATCCCATCCAGGGCCTTCACAGGCTGACGGTGAGTTCCCTCACTGGCAATTTTGAAAACGATTTTAGAGAAAAAAAAAGGGGGGGACAACCTAGTATGAGAATTGAATTTCGTTTTGGGGGATTTTGATATACAATCGTTTTGTTTGGATGGCCGGATTAGGTCGTACTCGACTTGGATGAGACGCTGGTTTGTGCATACGAGACGTCCAGCTTGCCGCCGGCGCTTAGAAGCCAGGCGACGGAGGGTGGATTGAAGTGGTTCGAGCTGGAGTGCGTCTCGTCGGACAAGGTCCTTTTTTGTTGGACTCAATGGAATTTAACATTATGTATAGATTAGCTTCTTAAGTAGGCTTATGCTTGATAATATGCTTTGAGTTAAATGTGTGATTTTGGGGAATTTGAAGGAATGTGACGGGAAGCCTAAGATCAATTATGTAACCGTGTTTGAGCGTCCAGGATTGCATGACTTCCTTAAACAGCTCAGTGAATTTGCTGATCTTGTGCTCTTCACTGCTGGCTTGGAAGGTTTGTGTTTCTTCTCCACTTTGCCTTCTCTAATAAGACGATAATGTGTTGCAACTACTGATTTCGGTGTTCGTTGGATGCTCTGCAGGTTATGCAAGGCCCCTTGTTGATACAATCGACAAAGAAAACCTATTCAGCCTTCGCCTTTATCGGCCTTCAACGATTAGCACGTAAGCTCTTTTGCCTTCTCTGTTTAGGTATGGCTGGCCATCAGATTTCTAATGGGTATGAAGATACTTGTTACAGTACAGCTACTGACTGCTGACTGATATGACCATTTACGGGTTAGGTATTGGAGTTTGTTGCGAAGCACTTATACTGACTTCTTGATTGGTGGTTTAAAACTATTTATGGAATTGATTCATGACTACTGTCAAGAGAACACATTTGTTTCACTATGACCGAATTTGAGTGAGCAGCTAAGTATCAAAGTTTTTGCTCTTCATCCTGCGTTTGGTTGAACAGGGAGTATAGGGAGCATGTGAAGGATCTCACGTGCATATCGAATGATCCTTGCCGGGTTGTTATTGTGGACAACAACCCCTTCAGCTTCTTGTTGCAGCCCTTGAATGGAATCCCATGCGTCCCATTTTCGGCTGGCCAACCACAGGACACACAGGTAAACTAGAGTCACAACACACAAGTCCCACTTCATACGTTTTTCATACCACATTGTGTTCAGAGTCTTAAAATGGAGCGTCCTTTCTCCCCTTTCGTTCCTGACCAACAGTATGTCTCTCTGGCTCGCTCTCCTCTATGCTCTTGATGCAGCTTCTAGATGTAATCCTGCCACTGCTCAAGCAACTCTCTCAGCAGACAGACATTAGGCCGATGCTGTATGAGAGATTCCACATGCCTGAGTGGTTCCAGAAGCAGGGTATTCCTGCTACTGGCCCTGGATGGAGATAAATATATTAGTATACAAGAAGTAAACCTCAACTTCAGCTTCCAGTCCCTCTGTACCATCCACAACACTTTGATTTATTCTAAAAGCAGCAATGTGTTTCGTTCGTCTCTTGCGAGTTTGGCAACTACTAGCATTTCATTTGTTTGTAGATAGCAGCATCAAATTTTTGCAAGCCAGCCATAGGTCACATTAATGAAAGCAGCAGGCGAGCAAGGCGGCACGGCACAGCTGAAGATCATTCAATTCAATTCTCTTGCTTTTTGTAGCCACTTTCATGTCTGTAGATATTTTCTATACAGTTACACACATTCTTAGTCTTGATTTGTAATGCCACCTAGAGGGTCTCTCAGTCAGTATGTTGTAAAAATTGGGGGAGGCCCGGGTCAATACAGCTTTCCTCGCTATTTCAGGCATGTAGTTAGAACTTAAAGACAGCCCGGTTGTGGTCACGGTTGTAACTATCTTAGTTCTTTCCTTCTATACAAGCAGCCATCAACCCGCAACCAGACCCACGACGACTTCGATGAAATCGATTCAAACTATGCACTACTGAGCTGTTCTAGCCTTCTAGGTGAAGATTGCTTGGCATGGGATTGCATTCCCTAAGCAAGAAAGATTCAGTGTTGAATTCCTTAAGTTTATTAGGTTACAAGTGGCTGGCATGGAAACATCACCTTAAATTTGTGTGTCATTTCAACTAACTAAGAGCCGCCAGTTACTTCCAGTAAGGGGCAATTGAATTTCTTACACACCAATGCTAAATAAGTCGTGAAAGAAACGTTCCTTGTTCTCTAATATCTATAGAAGAATGCTCTTCCTTGTAGATCAAGGAATCTCAGCCACACCGAGTACCGACGCAGAAATAGTCCGTTTGCCAAACTCTAGTGGCTGACAGACTGGGCCGCCACCTAGACCTAGGGAGTAACCATGGACCGGGTCTACCCTTGGGTCCAAATCGTTAAACCATGATGGTTATCTTATTCCTGGCCCGCTCTATTTGTATTGTAGATTATTGAATGTTGGGCATTATTTATATTCTCTTAACTCTGGGGTGTCAATTGTCGGGTTAATTGCACTTGATATCATATAAGTATTGCTTTCATTGTATACTAAGCATGTAAGTTCTTTTAGTTGCAACTAAATTACACAAGTTGAGTTTCGGTTGAATTGTTATATTTTCTGTTTTCATAAACCTAAAGACAGGTATCAAATTGTAATTCTCCATGACTTGCAAGCACTCCAGCTCAACCAAATTGCTGAGTCAGATGGTCTGCTAAATCCGCATGGGCCCACATGTTGAATTATTTCTTTTACGAGCAACGAAAGATTGGCTTTGCTTATTTAAACAATTGGACAGTAAGTAGTCAGTAATTTATCTTTCTAAACAAAACCAACAACCCGTTACTTAAAAGGGAAAAAATGAAGAACCCAGCATAAAGGATTTATATTTTCCACCCGAGTCACATCAAAACAGAGGAACTGTATCCAGTGATGAAAAATTACCCAACTGAAGGTAAAAGCTAATGAGAATGAGGCCTTGAAAGCAGTTACTACTAACTTATTAGTTATGTTCATTCAATACCCTTTAGAAAGTTTGGTTTAGGAGAGCTAAAAGTGGTTCCATGATTCATCAAAGTATAGATTAAAGCAAACTTCGACCCAACTCCGTAGTTGATTCTAATAACCCACAACTAACTAATGCTCCAATTTCAATTGTTAATGCATGTGCGTGAATCTAACAATAAAAAATACGAGTATTGAAGTAAAAACAGAGCATCCCTTGGTTTATCTAAAGACATGACAAGATGAAAAAAAGTAACCTAGCGGATCAAGAATCGGCTGGAGAAGAGAATGAATTGATGAAAAAATTGCAGATGCATGGTCGATTGAATTACTAGAAGATCTATGGTTTTTTTTTATTACTTTGTGGCAATGCTTTCTCTGTTTTGTTGTTACTCGGATGGAAAATATAAATTTTGCTGCTGGTTTCTTTTCTGTTTTAAGCAAGGAGCTGCTAGTTTTGTATTAGAAATAGCAATTACTCTCTAGTTGTTTTAATATAAGCAAAGACTACAACATCATCACAAGATTGCATAATAATGAGAGTTAGCATGAAACAGAAGTTGAGGGAACAAATAGGAAACTAAATTGATAAAAATGAATAATCAGTCAAGGGCGAATGAATTTGGAAGGTGGGAAGATGGTGAGTTCGTGGGTGAGAGCCTTTCATTGCGATGTTTTAAATTTGGTAGTGAGATAGAGGGAGAGAAGAACGCAGTGGCCAATCGACGATAGTTATGCTGATTGGCGACGACAACAGGGGATGTGGGGAGAGAGGGGGGAAGAGAGCATTTACCACTCATAGCCAGGCGCCAGCCAAGGCAGGTCGACTGCACACCCTTGGACTATCGAGCTCTACAAAAAAATATGGCTACTAGCAGGAATGTTCGCTCTGGGTGGTGAGCTGTGAATTTAGTAACTCGAGATCATAAATAGATAGTTAAAGTTATGAGGTGTGACATTAGCGATTTATCACATAATAGTTTTACACACTGTCTACTATACCCATTTCATAATAGAAATGTGTTTTCAAAAGATATAGATAGTCGGTTACACTGGGAATTTGACATTGATTTATTTTTGGGTGCGGGTGCGGGACATATGGAAAGCTGGCTTAGTTTTAACAAAATCAACGCCATCAGTGTCACAACCTCTCTCACTAAATCACTATAACCCTAGCATTACATCTAGACATAGGCGGAGGGAGGCCCATTGGGCCTTGTTCCGGGACGGGTAAATTTCGGAGGAACAAAAATATGTCATATATATGTATATTGGTGATGCAAAACAACGCATATAGGTAGTATTAGAGTATTTTTGTCACTACAAGTCTACAACACAACTCATTACTTATTCATAAATTGACATAAAATTAATTTATTATACTATAAACGAATTCTAATTGTAATAAAGACCTAATCGGATCTCTTTTCTCCTTATGCCCATTCGATTTTTCCCAACAACCCTGAAATTGTCTAGCGACAGCTACAATTCCACTAGTTTTGATTCTACGAATTACAACTGCAAATGTAAAAAGAGCATTTTCAACTTTGATTTATATTAAGAACGAGTTTCCAAGTCGATTTAGCGACCAATTTGCTAGTGCTAATTTAGTGAGATACATTGAAAAAGACTTATTTAATAGTGTAGACGACGAATGTTTTTGCGTTTCTTTCACAATATGAAATCTCTCCGTGGTTGTTAAAAACAATGATTGTATAGTCTGTTATTTTTAATCTATGAATGAATAATGCAGTTATAATTAGTTATAATTATTTTTTATTAAATTATTTTTAATTAAATATTTATATTATGAAAAGAGGACAGGGTGGTTTGAAATGCTGACTCCGCCACTACATCTAGATTAAATGAACTTGATGTGAACTCTTCGAAAGCTGATCCGAGTTCAAGAGACCAACGTAACTATCATGATTTCATCTTGATGTTCAAGACATGTGATTAGAAGACATTATCTTGAAAAAGGTATTTGCCAAGGAGTTCTCCAAAGATTATATTTTACATCTTGATATTCATCAACTAGATGCTTATATATTTCATATGAAGACAGTTGAGAGGTTTGTAGGATTAAGGGAATTGTCGAACTTTGTAGAGAAATGCTTGCGTCAATAAAATATCGAGTGTTTTTCATTAATCTATCAACTTTTGAAATTAGCATTGGTGCTTCCTGTTGCCATGACACGTGTTGAAATAGCATTTAGTGCAATCAACTATATGAATAACACACTTCAAAATAGGGTGAATTATGAAATCACGAACGATTTTTGTTGGTAATATTAAGTGTAAAATCGTCAATAATTTGGATAATGAATATATTTTAGATACTTTTCATATTATGAAATACATGGAGAATCATTATAAAAGATCAATATAAATTATGTTGTGTTCTTTTATCCACCTTAACAAAATTTCTTGCTACTTCCTTATTATTTAATATAGAACATGGATGAATATGACGCTAGAACGGCGCCGGCGCCGGCGCCAAGTATTCCAGCCTTATCCCCAACACATAAGGCAAATGGCATCACCGGCCGGCTACTACCAGTACTCTTCAGTCCTGTTCTTTTGGTGGGATTTTGATTTCGATATTAGTAATGTTAATTTGTTTGATTTGTACAACGATGGCTTGCTCTTTGGTCACCAAAAGGACCGATTGGATAATCTCCTCATGTTACATAATATATGTGCCGTGGGTAAAATACCTCGGGTACCACTAAAGTTTGAGAATTGGGGCAGACATACCACTTAAATTTGAATAGGGCGTCGGGTACCATTAAAGTCATCAAAATGTGCATCCTCTAGTTTTCCATCCAATCCAAAAATTTAATTACTTTTTGGTACCCAAAACTTTTAAAAACATCCAAAACTATATTTCAACAAGTTTTTATCTAATATAGAAATTAAAAAAAACCTTCTAAACATAATATTACTTAAATGATGAATCAAAATTTTCAATAAAATAGATAAGTTAGTAAAACTATAAACAAATATCAAGAAGAAGAAGAATAAATATATAGAATATAATAATAAATATTTAAAATCAATATTAGAAGATCTATTTAAATCACTAATCGATAAGAAGTACCATTAAAATACATCAAGCCCAAAGAAAGATAAATGGAACATAGTCAGAAAGAATTAAACATATTACAGTAATTGAAGAAAATTTAGAACGGAAATAGAACGAAAGTAACCAAGAAAATTATACAACATCCAGATGATGTACGTGAATTAAATATAACATCCTCATATTATTTATATCGATATAGAATTCATAGATATATTTGCTTAAGCAAATTATTCAATTATTATAACACATAATGGTAATTTAAAGTACTTATAATGATAATTGATTCTACATTTCCTATTCCAAAATTAGTTTGGTATCAAAATCTTCAAAAAAAAAAAAAAATAATTCAATTATTAGAAAATATAATAATAATTAAAAATACTTATAATTAATTTTAAATTTTATATTCAAAAATTAATTTGGTATAAAGTTTTCAAAAGAGGATACCAATTAAATAATAAAAATTGATGTTTTTCATAAGTCAAAATGATTTTTTACAATAAGAAAAGTAGAATGACCAATTAAGAAATTTAGAAAACTGAATATTCCAAGAATATTATGTTAAATTTAAAGGAATGTACTTAACATTAAACTTAAGTGGTACCGAGTGCACAAATAATAGAGTTCAGTGGTACCCGACGCCCTATTCAAACTTAAGTGATATGCCTGCCCCAGTTCTGAAACTTAAGTGGTATCCGAGATATTTTACCCTACGTGGCGTTGATGTTGTTGGAATCGACAACAACTATGATTACTCTCATTAGTCCGCTCTCTGGTTTCATTATAATACATACATGCTATTCCCTATGTTTGGCCCGACTTTTAGAAGTGCTTTTCGGCTTCAAAAGTTGAAGCAGGGCCAAACACCTCTAAAAGCTCGGCTTTTGAAAAGCCGAAAAGTGCTTTTGTATAACATAAAAGCAGAAGCTCCGATTTGGAGCTTCTGCGAAAAGCTTTTTCGAAAATACAAGGTTATCCTTACCATATTTTAATTTTATTTCCGAATATATAATTTCCCTTCATTTATATCATTTTAAAAATAGAATAAGTTATAAATCATATTATTTAATATAAAAGAAATCTAACAAGATCCATTTGGACTACTTTTTATTGTTTAGAATTTTTATTCATATTTTATATTATAAGTCCTTTATAGTCATTTTACACAACCTCTCATATTATAAAGCACTTCTAATAGTTTTACAGTCAAACACTCAACTGCTTTTTTTGAAAAGTACTTATCTAAAAGCTCCAGACAGAAGCTGCTTCTGCAAAAGTTACAGCGGGGCCAAACTACTACCTGCTGCACAACGTGCAGTGATTTCTTTCCACTTCTTTAATGTTTTATTCTTTCTTCTTATTAGTATACATTTCTTATTTATGTTATTTCGTATTTTATTTTATGGAAGCAGAACAAACAAATGGCGAGCTGAGAAACAATATATTTTCATCTTGTTTGTTGTAGTTTCTCTTCTCTTGCAAGTTGCATGTAGGGGTGGAAAATAATTCAATCCGGTTTTCCCTGAGTTGCATTTTGCTCACAATTCTAAGAGAAAGCCTCGTCGAGCGAGGACCCAACCGCTAAGCAAGGAGGGCGAGGGAGCTGCTCCCCGAGAGGAGTCGGCGGTTGCTGTGGGAGTCGGCGGTTGCTGTGGAAGAAGGCGCAGCGCCTTGTGGTGGACACGACACGACTCAAGGGCCTGTGTCTTCTCCGCCGGGAGTGATGGATGGGGAGGTTCATGTCGGTGGTGTTAGGGCGATGGGTGCTTTTAGGCAGCCCTGCCCCTCTATCTTGAAAGACGCCATGGGTACTCCCCATTTGGCGGATAGTGGATCGGAGGGGTCAGTGTCAGGGGAGGAGTCCCAGAATTGCAACCCCTCCAAGGGTCGGGTTAGCCAAGTGGTGGCAGCGTGCGAAGTGGGTTTGACTATTGCTGATGAGGTGGTGGAACAGCCCATGGGTGGAGGCATAAGCGGTGTAGCTGATACAGGGAATAGCAGTATTGCAGGGTTGGATGCTGGGAAGCTTGATGAATATTGATCCAATATGCTCAACCCGCCTACTGGATTCTTAAGCGTCCCCTTGAGGTGGTGGAGGGGGAGGTGGGCGTCCCGCCAACCCCCAAGAAACAGTTTGTGGAAGTAAATGAAGATCATGAGAAGGTGGAGGAAGCTAGCCTGGAGTGGCCCCAACCTGATAAATGAGGCTACTTGCCTGGAATGTGAGAGGCATAGGGCCTTCTCTCACATTCCAAACGACAGTGGGCTTGGTCCGTTCGAATAACCTGGAGCTCGTGTTTTTTTCTGAAACACGTTCTAGCCGGCGTGTTGTCTCCCGTCGTATGCGGGGCCTGGGTTTTGATATTTTGCGATGTTTTTTTGTTGATGCGGTTGATGCGTCTCGTGGGCTAGTGTTTGCTTGGTCCCCAGAAGTTAATGCTTCGGTTTTTTATTCTTCCAACTCAGATTAATGAAGTGGATTTTTCTTATATTGTGGTTTGTGTTTATATTAGTTGTTCGGTTTCCACTAGAACCGCCCAATTGGCTCACCTTCAGGAAATCTGTTCTGCGCTCCATCTCCCTTATGTGGTTATTGGTGACTTTAATACTATTCTTACTGCAACTGAAAAAGATGGTGGTAATCCCTGGAATGCCAGTAACTCGGCCAGCTTGCGCGATTTTATTAATGATTTGGGTCTCCATGATCCTGGCTTCCAAGGTGACCTTTTCACTTGGACGAATAAGAGAATGGGTAGTGCTTGAATTCGAGAACGATTGAATAGGGCCCTTTGCTCCCAACCCTGGATTGATCGGTTCCTTGAAACCTTGATTAAACACTTTACGGATCAAGGCTCTGACCATAGAGCCCTCCTCCTTTCCGATAAGCCTTATATGCGCAATAGCCGGCCTCTCTTCAAATTTGATGCCCGCTAGGCGGATAATCCAGAGGTGAGGGCTATGGTTACCTATGTCTGGAAGGAGGACATCCAGGGCACCCCTATGTTCTGCCTTTGGGAACGCCTGAAAAATACTTCGCCACCTCCTGTATGATTGGAGTAGAGCGGGTACTACGAATTCCCTGCGGAATATTCGTACCGTCCAGAGCGAAATTGATAGGGTTAAACTGGTTCATCCGATTGACTGGAATATGGTTCGGGGGTTGGAAATTGAGTTGAATCGGCAGTGGGAGGCGGAGGAAATCTATTGGCAGCAGAAGTCCAGAGTCCACTGGCTGAAGAAAGGGGATAAAAACACGTCCTATTTTCATACAGTGACTAGGGCTCGACGTAAAAGAAATTTTGTGGCTTGGCCTTCGTACTGAGAATGGGGAGTGGGTTACTGATGAGGCTAGTAAAGCGGGGATTGCTACTTCCTTTTATCAACACCTTTTCGCCACGGAGAACCAGGTGGATAATATGGCTGAGCGGGTGGCGTCTTTGCCTATTGCTCGGTGTGTTACCCCAGAGATGAATGCTGGTCTGACGGCCGAAGTTCTCCCTTCTGAGGTGCGAAAAATGGTGTTTGCTATGGGATCTAAGCAGGCTGCTGGGTCCGATGGTTTCACGGGGAAGTTTTTTAAGGCTTTCTGGGATATTGTGGGGGATTCGGTGACGACGGCAGTGTGTTCTTTCTTTGCTACCAGTCGTATGCTTCGTAGTTTCAATCACACGTGGCTCACGTTGATACCCAAGGTTGATAATGTGGAGACTATGCGGCAGCTGCGACCAATCAGCTTATGCCAGTTCGTTTATAAAATTATTACTAAGATCATGGCAGAGCGTCTTGCGTGCCTTTTGCCTAATGTTGTCTCAGAGGGTCAGAATGCATTCATCCGGGAGCGTCAAATGTTGAGAATGTTCTTCTGGGGCATGAATTGATGCATTATCTTAAGATCAAAACGCGGGGTAAGAAAGGGTACATGGCTCTAAAGGTTGACATGGAAAATGCCTATGATAGAGTCGAATGGCCTTTTCTCCTTGCTGTTTTGGAAAAGATGGGCTTTAATTCCATTTGGCAAGGGTGGATTCGAGAGTGTCTTCGATCCTCATCTTTTTCTGTGCTTATGAATGGGACTCCTTCAGGTTATTTCACTCCTTCCAAGGGCTTCGACAAGGGGATCCCCTTCCCCCTCTCTTATTCGTGCTCTGTACGGAGGGCTTTGCAGCCCTCTTCCGCAAAGCTATTACGGAGAAGAAGCTGGAGGGGGTTAAAGTGGCTCCTCGTGCACCCCGGATCTCGCACCTGTTTTTTGCCGATGATTCTTATTTATTCTTGCGAGGTACTCTCCGGGAGTGTGAGAACTTGATTGAGGTCCTAAATGAGTATGAGGACTTGAGTGGCCAACGAGTGAACTTGGCTAAATCCGCTGTTTGTTTTAGTAAAAATATTGTCCGTGCGGACCAGGAATTCTTGGCCTCGGTGCTGGGCGTTGGTGCGGTTGGGGTCCATGATAAGTACCTGGGGTTGCCTACGCTTATTGCTCGTTCTAAGTTGGCTACGTTCAGGTATTTGGAGGAGAAGCTGCTAGAACGTCTTCAGGGGTGGAAGCATAGGACCTTATCGTGGGCTGCTAAAGAAACTTTGATTAAGTCAGTTGCTTTGGCACTACCACTGCATGAGATGTCTTGTTTTAAGCTCCCTCTCTCCCTCTGTCGACTTTTAGATAGGCATGTGGCCCGGTTTTGGTGGGGGGATGCCGAGGATCACTTTCGCATTAGATGGGTGTCTTGGAGGAATTTGTGCCGCAGTAAACATGATGGTGGTTTGGGGTTTCGTCGCTTCGAGCAATTTAATCAGGCTTTGCTTGCTAAGATTGGGTGGCGTATCCTTATGGATCTCCAATCCCTTTTGGCGCAGGTTTACAAAGGCAAGTATTTTCCCAGTGGGTCTTTTCTTGAGGCTTCGGCTAGATCTCGACCCTCCTGGGGCTGGCAAAGCATCTTATTTGGTAGACAGTTGTTGGTGAAGGGGTTGCGGTGGCAAATTGGGAATGGCCGATCAGCATCCTTACTGAACTCTAATTGGATCCCTCGGCTCTAGAATGACCCCCCTAGTTATAATCATCGGGTTTTGGTAGAGGGGGGGGGGGACCCACCTGTTGCGGAGGTCATATGTCCAGGGGAGGGGTGTTGGAATGTTGACAAGTTGTGCCAGTGGTTTGACCCATCGACCTGTGAGGCTATAAAGGATATTCCCCTTCCGCGGCGGAATGTAGAGGACAGGTTAATCTGACATGCGACTGTGGATGGGGTCTTTACGGTTAAGTCTGCCTACCACTTGGCGGTCGAGATTGACAGGAGACGGGGGGGGGGGGGGGGGGGGGGGGGGTTGGCGATCCACGATTGGGTGGATGGATAAGCCCTCCTGGGTTCGTTTGTGGGATGCTAATATCCCTCCAAAGCTTAAAGTCTTTGTCTGGTAGATCTTCAATCGCATATTGCCAACTACGAAAGCCCTTATTGAGAAACAGTTTCCGGTGCTCCCCAGGTGTCCGGTGTGCTGGGCCAGTGAAGAAACTTTGGAGCATTTATTTTTAGAGTGCCCAGTTGCTCGGGCCCTTTGGGATTATTTTGGGCTGGCGTACTTAGGGGAGGGGCTCCCCCGCCATACTTTCCCTTTGTTTCTGAAAAGATTAATGCCTTTGATTCCCCAGCATCCTCTGTTTATGGCTTTGGTTGCTGTCCTTTGGCGGATATGGCGGTCACGGAACTTGGTTGTCTTTGAAGGCAAGCAGTTTGAGTTCCCGGCCTTGATGCGTCAGTTTCAGCAACAGTATGAGGAATGGGTCCGGCTCCCAGTAGATACAAGCCCAAGAATGGCTCCCCTTGCAGCTGTACCCTCTGAGTCGAACCACATGAGTCTTGGTGTGTGGGGGGGGGGGGGGGGGGGACAGGGTGGTGTGTATGTGGGATGGGGCGGGTTGGAGAGGATCTCACTCGGCTGGTGGGGTGGTTCTTTTTACTCCTACAAGAGATATTTGGCTGGTGAAAGGGGTTCGTTTTCCTGGCATGGATGATCCGATGGTGGTGGAATTGCTTGTCCTTCGGGAGGCTGTTTTGTGGTGCCTGGAGCTCGGCCTTTCGGAGGTTCAATTTGAAGGTGATGCCAAGGTTATTATTGATAAAATCAATCAAGCGGATGCTAGAGACAACCGGGTCGGAGCTGTTTGGAGGAACTTCAACAATTTTTTCACAGCTCTGCTGGGTTTAGGGTTCGATTTGTAGGTCAGAGTAGTAATAGGGTAGCCCATTCGGTGGCTCGTAAAGCTCTCTCTTTATACCCGACTATGAGTCGTTCTTTTGATTTCCTAGCATGGCTTTCTTCCAGGATGTAATTATCTAATTTTGATCAATATATGATTATTTTTTGTAAAAAAAATTGCATGTAGTGAATCTGGTTTTCACCAGAAAACCTGGCGAATTCCTAGCCTACTTGCATGTATTAATTCTCATTTCTTGGCATGTTGTTGTGTCTGACTGCTTTAACCAGGTTAGTTTGGATATATGAAAAAAGTTATTATGCTATTAATACATTTATAAGTTATATGTAATCTCATCTAATATAATAGATAATAATATTTAACATTACACCAAAATAATATGTCGTACTTGGATCCGACATTTAATGAAAATTCACACACACTTATACAAAATCTATATTCAAATGTTCAACTAAGAGTTCTAGAAATTGGGTTAGGCGAAATTAAAATTCGAAAATAGGCGCATTTCTCAAACCAAAGAAAAAATGAAACAACTTAACATCCAACCTGGTACCTGGACGACCCGACAAATGTGTGCGGCCCATTTTTTTCACAGGATCAAGGTCAAAAAGGATCAACTGGCGGGTCGAAGCACGAGTTGACAACCTTGTGGGATATACATATTCTTTCTCGGTAGGGATATCAATCTTGTAAAATAAAATTAAATGCCTCTTTCACACACCACGCAGATATCTCATTAAATCCGTAAATATTGATCACCGGCTCCAACAATGATTTTCTATCATTCCAATGTTCAATTGCCATTTAAAATCTAACGGATG